AAAGAAGGAAAAGTTATTGATGTTATGGAAAATATTATTTTATTGAATAATGTGTGTTTAAAAATGAGAATTGATTTACTGTAGAAAATGAAAATATGTACCAAACAGGCCCTTAGACTAGGACGTTAGAATCCACTTCTTATGCCTCACTTCGAATGACCCCTTGCGTATGTGCTATTTGACATCCCAATAGTAATCATAAGCTTACCCATTTCAAGCATGTTGTTGCATTACAATGTATTAATTAATTTATTATCATTTAACAACTTCCTCAATGTCTAACTTTTAATTGATAAACGTCGTATTTTCGATAGTCAATTCGCAAGCAAAATTCAAATGTTTAAGAGATAATTGTTATGTTAAATTTGTCGTCTCGAGTATTTAATAAGTATGAGGTTAATTTCATAAACGATCACTGAAGTTACCTAAAAATTACGAAACTATCACTGAAATTTAAAACTTGAAAAAAGGGTCATTGAAGTTTCAGTCACTTTCACGAACGATCACTAAACTTATTATTAGGACTAATATGATGTTAATTCAAACATAAAGGACAAAAACACGTTTCAATCGAGTTAATTACAATACACACGTTTCATCGAACATTTAATACATTCAAATTTGACGGTATTTTCTTTAGTTTTTATCGTTTAAAGGATGGGATAGTTTTTGAGCTAGAAAGAACAAAGGAGTGAATGTAACTCTGTGGAGACCGTGGGATTTGGAGAATGACTCGACCCAACAACTAAACATGGGTTTGAGCTGGCTTTCTAAAAAGTAAAAGCTCACTTTTTGCAAAATATATTCTAAACAAAATCTACATCAAACAAGTTCTTAATACTTCAATTCATTTCAAATAAAATAGTTTTATGTTTAATGGTATGTATACACGTCACATATATTGTTCAAGTTACATGCTTAACCATAAGAGGTTTAGAGATTTACTACTTTAATTCCTTTACTCAAAACTAGAAAATTTTGTCTTTTTTTTTTTAATGAAAGAATAGTTTATCTCTAACTGTATAAAGTTGACATTAAAATAAAAAAATGTAAAAGAAATTGGTAACTAACAAATAATAATGATTAATTAATACTAATCAGACATCAGTTGTCATTTCTCTAGAAATCTGCAAATATTTGAAGATAAGTAAATAGTTTATAATTATAAGACAAACAACCTCGTATACCTCAAAACTAATGATTAAATTCTGATTCTATCTGACTAGTGAAATGTTGGGTTTATTTTTATAAAATTAGTGGAAGGTTGATAAAATTATAATGGGACTAATAAAGTACAAACTATGCTTTGTTTGGTAAGGATTAAAATCAGATTTTTAGTAGATTTTGAAAAAAAAATTAATGAAATGTGTAGTTGAAAAGTTGTGAGACCTATATAATATATGGTTAAAATTGATTATTAACTTTAACTAAAATTAAAATCTGAATTTTAATTGATACAAAACAAGAGTATGTTCTGTTACAATTTCTTTAAAATTCATTTTCAAGGTGTAATTTTTTTCTTATTTATCGACTACACATCCTTAAAAAAAAATTCACAAAATCTGTTCTTAAAAAGATGAGTTTTGCTATACAAACATAATGCTTGACATAAGGGATAACACAACACACACATAGGGAGGTCGACATTATTTAATTCAGGTCAAGACCCACATGCAATGTGAGAGGTCGATCAACCCCTATGTCAAGCATTATGTTGTAATAGTTAATTTTGGTGGAGCAATTTGGTGATATAATATCCATGGAGTAAGACTTCTTTGGGGTCAGGAGTATAAAGGGTGTACAGACCCTGGTCAATTT